CTCTGTCTGTCAAGCACCTTTTCATATAAAATTACCGAGAGAAATGTATTTAGTTTTCGCAAACCTTTCACCCATTCTTAGTTTAAGTTATTTATATATATAAATATATTGATGTATTGTCGCTTCTAAAATGTTTTGTGTAATAACTGTTGAGGAGAGGGCTTTAATAATGATGTAAAAACTTGTGCCCGATCCTATTGCTGTAAAGCTAAAAGGCAATAAAATATGTGTAAACTAAACTACCACCTCCACCACACACCCTGTGTCACATTATGATACAGCGTACACTCCAGCCAACACTAGACAGCACAGGAATTTCAACAGCTCCAGGTAGTCAAGCTGGCTTATTGGAAGTCCGATAATAAAACGACGGCCGATAAAAAAGTACTGCACAACCCATATTTATGTAAGCTTTGTTCTCTACAAATACTAGTTTTGTTTATATATTTATACATTGATTGGAAAATAGTGTAAATCAGACAGTTTCCTTTCCGTTCTCTTTAAGCATCATTTAAGCTTTCTTTCGTGTCTTTTCTGACATCCGTCGTCATTAGATATATTAAAGTGTTACACTTGTCTGACAACGTTAAGTTGCTAGTAGATTCAATAACCCTTCCAGATCATTCACGATTACTGACCCAAATCAACAACATCGGAGATATTCTTGTTCCTGTTTAATATTAATGTGCTGTATAGATACAGAACGTAAATAGACATAAAACGGAATCGGAATAAAACGGGAATCGTCAGGTAGGTCTACACGAATTTTAATTTGACATAAATTTATTTATAAAAAACGCAAATGAAATTAATATATTGTACAGTATCCACTCGGAGAGCTTTACGTGGCATATTCGTGAAATAACAGTAACGATATTACAACTAGGAAGTTATCTGGGGTTCGGGATATCTTTCCTTTTTTTTCGGTGACGGTTAAATGTTGTAATTTCCTATCAATTTTCGGTTTGAACTTTGTGTTAGGACACGGTGACACATATTATCTAATAACCTGTAACAAAATTTGTATGTAAAGTATTAATAGTTATTATTTTCACCCTGTTTAAACAAAACCACCTATGTAAGTGATAAAGTTTCCTATTGTTTGGTAGTAACAAAATATTCAATTCTACAGAGTATACTTTTATAAAAAAACTTAATTACCTTTCACTTTCGGATTTCAACCTTTGTTGTGTACATTGATAATTGGAAGTGACAGACGATATTTCATTTCCAATTCGATGCGTTCATATTTATTCATAGCTAATAATATAAGGGTACACACTTCTAATTAGTCAATTGGCTTCGGTGCAGTATAACACCTATACTAATGACTTGATTCCAACCGACTTTTGTGTGCTCATACATGGCAAGTGTCCAACTAAGTCTGATTGCTGTTTTGACATGTTTTTATACGCATAGTTAATTAGGCTCTCCATCTGATTGGTCTAATGCAGCGGTTTTCGTAAAATAACTCGTCTTTAATGGTTCAATTTCAACCAGTTCGATGAACATACATGGATAAGCCTCTTGTATGGCGCAGTTTTTCCGCCTCGGCGATTCATGCATGTAGACCATATATTCATTGCATCTGGTATGTTTGCTCAGGGTTTCCGACTTTTACCCACCCTACTCAACAGTATGTCTACTCCAAACAACAAACAAAAGATATAGCATGTCCTGCAAGCGGGTGATATCAATTCCACAAATTTTCTCGTATTATACAAAATACCGTTTTAATTTGATTTTAATACTGTACGTATGTTGTTCAGGACCATACGGCAGAAAATGGGTTAAAAGTATTTGGTCAAAGAGAGATACTAATTTATCAAAAGTGCAAGGAAAAGGTGAGAAAAGAAATGTATATATAAATGAAATCCCAATAGATCAAGAGATGGTTTTATACATGTGTCATGTATGGTTTAGCAACCTATTACATTCAGGTGATGTGCAATGATGTTATTCTGTAAGGTGATTGTTTGGCATTTACAACACTCCCAGCTCAGTATTCAAATATTATACATGTTCACCTACAGTATGACAGCAATATCACCACTGTCTCAAACTCTATGACGGACATGGCGATTGATTTAAGTATCACGACCGTTATCATGTTTTTCCTCAGTAAAAGCAAACTTCTGTGCTACGCTTATAGAGATTACACGTGGCATTTGATTTACTATATCCAGGGTCTATTTAAAAAGTAATCAGACTTTTAGACTTCATAGGCGGGATGGTATACTAGAGAGTAATCGATCAATGTTAAAGAAAATGGCCGTAGCCCCCGAGATATATGAGACATTGTTTTGAGTGCTTTAGATTGATATTTACATTTCCTCTATGATATCACTTTATAAAGGAAGGACACAGCGTTTTGAGTCATACTACTTTAGACCGGAAGACAAATATAGAGTCAATGCAAAAGTTGTTTTTGAATGTCCTTTCGAATTTTTGGACGAAAAGTTGTTTATTTCACCATGATACTAATGTTATAATATTTATATTAACAAACTTCTACACTGTATTGATTTTAGATGAAAATGAAATACTGAACTATGTCGATATGATGACAAAAGGACAGCATAATGACACAGAACTGTATGGCGACATAATGACAAAAAGGAAACAGAATGGCACGGAAATATGGGCGATATAATGACTCAAGGACATCATAATGACACGGAATTATGGGCGATATAATGACACAAGGACAGCATAATGACACGGAACTATGGTAGCAGTATACAGTAGAGGGTTGTGGCCATGGGTGATATTTTTGTTAAATGTCTAACCCCTGTATAATGATATGTAAAACAATTATAAAAATAAAACTGTACTAAAATTGGTATAAGCATGATGAAGTGGGCTACGTAAGCTTCACATTAGTAAAAAATAAAGAAGATTTTTTTTGGTTCGAGAACAAAATTTTGGCCATAATCCGAAAGGGTGCCTACACATGAAAAGCTAGCTTTACAGGAGGTACAATTTTGACAACAGCTCACGACGCAAAAATGCAAAAAATCAAGTTTTACAACTTTACTGGGACCCAGATAATTCTGCAACCAGGTAGGTAGTCTTTAATTTAAGACAGAACTTAGGAAAAAAATACTAGTTGCGGGGGTCAAATTTTGGGTCAAAAATAGCAATTTTTGGCATTTTTGGTAATTTTTGATTTGGTAACCATGGTTTTCACACAAGTGACATACATAGAAAATTATACACTTCTCAGTACTTTATATGTATTGTAAATTTAATGCAGTTTACAAATATATATACATGTATACTTGTGTTGTGTAGGGTAAATCCGCTGTGTTTACATTTCCTCGACACGTGACTTGTTTATCAGAGTCGGGCCATTTCTACTGTACACTGCTACCTATGGGCGATTTAATGAAATAAAGGAAACAGAATGATACGGAACTAGAGGCGATATAATGACACAAGGACAGCATAATGACACGGAACTATGGGCGATATAATGATAAGAGGACATCGTAATGACACAGAACTATTGGCGATATAATGACACAAGGACATCATAATGACACGGAACTATGGGCGATATAATGACACAAGGACATCATAATGTCACGGAACGATGACGACACAATGATAAAAAGGAAACAGAATGGCATGGAACTATAATGTACGTCGCATCTAACTGGCGATAATGCAGTGGGTAACAACAGGTGTATTTTTTCGTTATTCCTGATCTGCAGGGCATTGGGTTAATTGAACCATCTGGCTAGCCCGTTGTCAGATGATGTGACCTGACGAAATACTGTGTTATGTGCCTTGGCATGGTAATTTAGCGAGACAGCATTATAAAGACGGCATCATATCTGCACTATCGCAAGGAGGCAAATACATCAAGCGCGTATTGCAAGCATGCGGGTATATCCTTAATGACCTTGGCTGTTAGTGTGACGTTAAACAAAATAAAAACAAACCACAGGAATAGTGCCGCAGTATAACAGTAAATGTTGCAACACATTAGACGTAGAATTTACTTATTCTTCAGTCGTGTGGTTACAAATGTGAAATATTTAAAGTTCCATTTTTAAGGGCTTTGATACGCTACGCACCCGGTCTTGGGACAGAACCTATTGCTTATCTGTACTCCGTTTGGTTGAAAGAAATCATTTAAGCCAAAAGCGAAGTACTGAAAAGTGAGGCGTTGTGAAACAAAAACATTAGATCGAAAGGGAAAAATATAAAGACCCCGATTGTTGCAAATAGTGCAGCAGGGTCTTTTTGGTGGTCGTTTGTGTGCCCCAAAGAATACGCATACAGTCATCACATTAGTCAGCTCTTACAATATGAAATAGGTTACAGCAAATGCAGATATATTTCTTACTTAATACCCAAGCTACAGGTGGGGGTAAATAATACAGATCAAAGTAGATCAAGTATACATGTCGTACATTTATGATGTATCGGCTATTTTATACTTTCACCATACGATTTTCAATATTCGCAATACAATATATATAGTTTATATAAAGACATGTATTATCTAGTAAGTTCCATGTCTCGTCATATAGTTAAAAGAGTTCAGAGCTGATTGTATATTGCTTTTTGTAGTCATACTGAAAATATCTATACAGTACAGGGTTTTAACGATAATTGTAAATTGAATGATTGCTTTTTTTTCTTTCCTGATCGATAAGCATAACTTTCGCCTGATGATGGTATATAACGAAGTCAATGATTATCAAATCAGAAAATTGGGTTAAGTTAATTTGTAACTGGCGATTGTTTCCATCTAACGAATGTAAGTCAAAACCAAACGAATCGGTGCATATAAAGATTATTTTATAGGACACAACAACAAATTGGAGTTCGTCACTGTTCTTATCTGACGCGTAGAGTTTTTTTTATCGGCTTAGAATGTACCAGTATTGTTTGTATTGAGACAAAATGACTGATAAGGGCAATGTGGAATCATGTATAGAATGAATCTATTAATAGATTAAATTTCAGGTAAATAGATTTCCTTCCAGAATGTTTTGTGTACACGGCGTGGTCCTCATACTGCTATCCTTGGCCATCATTTTAATTGGTGAGTTAAGAACTGTAACAGTTAAATAAACACAAACAATGTAAATTTCATATTCATTATGATTTTGCTATGGAGTTCAAATATTTTATTGGTATGTTTTCATCGACATGAACGTTTTGTACATTTTGGTATACTGGTACCATATTTATTTGCGTAAATATACGTAGGTATATACGTCGATAATCAAGTATCGTTAATTGTATCCGTGTATAGGAAAAGTAAAACTAAATTATATTTTCTTAGGTAGCGAAGATTATATAACTAAGCACAAGAAGGAATCAAACATCATTTTCTGCTCAACTAGTCATAGTAACAAAATGTGTTGCCTTTCAGAAAAAAATAAACAAGAAAACATTCAAATTATTTTACATTTTGTTGTTTTATAAAGAAGAAATGACGTATCTCTGTCCGTCTCTTTCTCTCTTAATCTGCCTTTTTGTCTTCTGTCTGCCTATCTGGCTCTTCGCCCGCTATCTGTCTTACACACATACTCACACTTATATCGATGTTACAGGCGTAGACTCGCAAGGCGTCACGTGCCAGTGGAACTGGATATGGCATAATAACCACTGTTATCAATTAAGCAATTACGGGACCACATGGACCAATGCACAGGTATTTAATGTTGTTTATTTAACAAGATAATACTTTTTACGTGTGCTTTAATTTATATTTCATTGAAACAAATCTCTATGAGAGAGAGAGAGAGAGAGAGAGAGAGAGAGAGAGAGAGAGAGAGAGAGAGAGAGAGAGAGAGAGAGAGAGAGAGAGAGAGAGAGAGAGAGAGAGAGAGAGAGAGAGAGAGAGAGAGAGAGAGAGAGAGAGAGAGAGAGAGAGAGAGAGAGAGAGAGAGAGAGAGAGAGAGAGAGAGAGAGAGAGAGAGAGAGAGAGAGAGAGAGAGAGAGAGAGAGAGAGAGAGAGAGAGAGAGAGAGAGAGAGAGAGAGATTGATTTTTGACAAACTTCGCACTATAATTCTCAGTACCATTTAATCAAGGTTGTAGTAATATTCTGCTGAGGAGGCGGATTAGGCTACATGTGGATATTGAAGAATTCAAAAGATTTTTTGATCAATCTGGAACATCCTTTTTACAAAACTGTTTCTTCTATTAAAACTTCTGATTTATTGACCCTTAACATTACAATTCTTCATACAAAACAGAAGGAATGACTTCGTTCGCTTGTTATGAAGCTTTCATTTATAGAACGGCAAACGGCAATATTAATATATGTTTGTACATAATTTCGGTGCATATTTTGTGAATAATACAACAAAAAAATATTCTGAGGACGATATTGTAAGAATTTTGGAGTTCCTGGTTGACAAAATCTTTGTTAAGTTCGATGCAGACTGAGGCATTCCAATCTCATCAAACTGTGCCCCTCTCACGCCCATTTTGTTTATGTTTACATATTAAGCTGAAATTATTAATTACTTTTCAATACTGGTATATCGATTGTACATCGTACAAACCCTTCAGAGCTTGAAATCAAGGAAAACCAAGGACTCTTCCCCTTAAGCTGCTTTCCTCGATTTCATGTAAAACATGACCTATAAGGACGGCTCATAACAATTACTAAGCTACCAGCTAATTGTGACGGTTTCGACTTTCCGATTGTGAGCTTTCTCTTTCTTGATCGTCACATCCATCTTCCTCTACCTACGGTGTTAATATGTCGCAGTTGGTTCGGTACTCAAAAGCTTGCTCCAAATATCATGAATTCTGTGATAGATGTCGATTGCTGACAGATACACGTATAGCACAAGGTTTCGACAAATGCAAGTTGATGAAGACTATGAAAAGCTTTATGGTCGCCATAGAATTGACTTTTTATACGGCGGGTGTCATCGAAGAAGCAAAAGACGTTTTCCCCTTCCGGAAAACCTAAAATAATTCTCCTTGAACTTTATCAAGAGTCTTCATGTAAAGTTTTCCTTTGTTCATAATTTGTTGTTTGAATTATAGTTTTGTTGACACTTCGATATTGTCTTGTTTAAAGTTTCTTCCAATATCAAGAATGATAACATGTATTTTGTAACAATGGAGTATATGACCACTACGCACAAGGCTAGACCAAAAAAGCTTACTGAAGCTGAAAAACACAGTACAGACGCGCAGACCTCTTACCTGTACACTGTATAAAACCTGGCTGTATAACAGTTATAGCCTTTGACCATGTTTGGAATTCACAAATGATCAAGATTAAAGCAACCCGGATGTCTTAATACAATAATGCTCCATTATATACATTGGAAACGAAAGTAAATAACTCAGAGTTATGTGTAAACTATTTTGAATTTTAATGTATTACCGGTCGCAAAATTGTATTGAATAATGTATTATTTAATGTATATGTTAATTGTATGAAAAGTATTATTTGTATATCTACGTACTGTAAATCACTTTAGAGTAGCTTATTCCAGCTAGACAGGTCGCTGTATCAAATATTGCATATTGATTTATTTGTTTTTCTTTATTTTCATACAGGTATAACATTAAATATTAATAAGACCCTGGAACATGTTTAAAGACTGAATGACCAAACTATTTATGCTCACAGATGAAACTAATTATTATTTGCTATGCTATTACCAATATTCAATAATGAAAAACAAGTTAATGCTGTTATCTTAGTCAATAGTCAAAAGGCTAAGTTAAATAATATCATGTAGTATCAACAATATCAGATTTATTTTTAACGTTTTAGCAAGAATGTCAGAGGCTTGGTGGTAACCTTGTAACTATAGAAACTGAATACGAAAACTCGTGGCTAAAGGGACTTGCAGGCCCATCAGGTAGTACTTCATCTTTTCACAAACACGATTTAATGCCTATAATGAATGTGTTTTTAAGCATACATATTTTATTTCGAACAGATTTTAAATTTCCGCTGATATCGTTCCTTGCATCTCAGACGAATCCTTGGACGAAACAGATGTATGATTCAGTATAACTCAATTTAGGCACGCTGTATCTGATACCAAATCTAAGACTCCATAATCTCTTCAATGTTGTGAAGCCTCTTGAAATATCTTCAACAACAATTGCGAGATACATCCTGCTCGATCGTGTGTACAGGGAAAATGCTTAACATTTTGTTAAATGTTAGAATATACATGCCGTGTGCATGAAAGACGCGTTAGAGTTTCGAAAATTAATAGCAGGTGGCAAATAATAACGTTCTATGTAGTACGGAGTAAATTTGTCACTTTCAAAATCAAACCTGTTCAATGTAATTTTTGTGACGGTCAACTTAAGTCATTATTTTCTGTAGAATCGGTATATATTAAAACCCCAGATCGTCGAAAATCCGACAGTATTCGGTAATTTCGATATCGAGATAACTCAGTCTGAGGTCTCTATTGCACCACAATTGTGACACATTCTGTACAGCTTACTAGAGAGATACCAAAAAGTCCTCCTGTTCATCTGCGGTAGGTGCTCTTAATACGTTATATATAGCCTCACTGTTTGAGAAATCGGATACTATTATGTTCAAAGATGTTGTTGGATTCACTCTTTCCATTTTGATTGACATTTAGTCTCTCATCTATCAAAAAAATATGCATGCATTATTTAATGTGAGTTTAAGGCTTTACAAAATCTTAATATGACGCGTGCACTGTTTACAATTGTGTATATGTAATTTACTATGTTAATACGCTCAAGTTGACCTTTAATTGTATAACTCACACGAATTATGAATCATTTATTAATGTAAACACTGAGGATAGAGCTCCATGTAGCGTGTGTGTGTGTGTGTGTGTGTGTGTGTGTGTTTGTTATCTTTGCATAGCTGTCAATCCCTCTGGCCGAGCTTTTAATAGCTTGATAGCACCCAGCATACAATTTCGTGTTCTGTGCCAACACAGTAAAAATAAATACGGGACTGTGACTTTTTTATATTTATTTTTCCTAATAAAACAACGAAAACCATTTTTGACTAATGATATTTGAGTATTTAGTATAGCAGCAAAGACAAAGTAATTATACGTCAATGTGCTTATTGTGTTTGGTCATATTGAACAAGTTTAACATGTTATAAAAAGGAAAGTAGTCTTGTTATAAAACAATCACATAATACTACATATAGAATTTGGAGGCATGATTCAATCTAATTGATAAATAGGTGCGTTGATATATTTTGTTGAAAGATAACCCTTGGATAGGAGCAAACGACCTAATAGGAGAAGGGGACTGGAGATGGGTCGCAGACAACTCTAAAGTAGCATTCACAGACTGGGGATCGGGTGAACCGACTGATGCTGTAGGTAACCAAGATTGTGCGCATTTCTACAATCATTGGAATGACAACATCTGTACAAGTAGTTATCGTTTTATTTGCGAAAAAGATGGTAAGTATACATTAAGCTTACGAGGTTCATACAAAATAAGACACCATTGTTAAACCTTATAAATCTGGGACGTACAATTTCATAAAAATATACCTTTGTTACACATGCCTTCCTCTAGTGTTTTTGATTATAAGTTCGATTTTATTTACGGCTCAGTATTACATTGTGTTTTCTACACATTATAATTTACATGTATAACGCAATCTTTCATTTCATACTGCATGTTTGTTGACGTCTTTATTTTGCAACAAAGTAAACATTTCTGAACACTTAGTAACGGACCTGAACTTTGTTGAGGGCTGGCAGTCAGTTAGCAAAAATTACCTGGTTTTGTTTGGTGTTGGTTTTATGCAGTTAAGCGTCCTATAAACAGCTAGGTTTAACGAAAGACGTTGTTCGATGTGTGCATTGTATTCATTTATGCGTCAGCTCTACTTTCTTACTACGTTTTATGTTTCCTAGCTCCTTCTTGACAATATCTTATTTTTAACCTCACAGTTGAGCCATCGACATTTCGGGCGCGTGGTTCTATAAAAGGAACGCGAGATAGCATCAGTTATGTAGGGCCTTACACTGGCGTTACTGTACCCTTAAAGCAACACTTCCGATATTTTGGCAACGAGTCAACGAGGGTTCTGATTAAATTTATTTTCCAAACGATTAGTTTTGATAAAATAGTCTTTTGAAAATGATGTCCAAATAAATAGCGTCGCACGGCACGTAAATCAGGAAAATCCTCTTTTGGTAATTATGCTTACCTTTATATCGTCCATGTAACGATAATCAGCAGCCAATAAAGCGTAATACACTTTACTTGGCGGACAAAATATTATTAAACGAAAACTGTATGCATAAACGTTCTTCTTTGCATTGAATGACAGTTTCTTGGGCCGCTTTTCTATAGGTGTCCCGTTTTGGGTACTGTCCCGATTTGGGTACAGGGACGGTACCCAACAAATCCAAACACTAATGTGTCCGTCCTTAAATGGCATATAGTGTTTTAAACAACGCTTATGGTCATCAATCTGTACATTCTCACCGTGTTACCATCTCACTCTTCTATTTTAAATAATAAAAAGAAAATTATATTTTCAATCAATGCACTCTCATACTTACCAGAGGATAGATGTCTCTCCCATCCCTGTTTAAACGGAGGGACGTGTACCAGGTCAGGATCAAACTTCAACTGTGGCTGTACAAATGAATACCAAGGAACCAACTGTCAGCTTCGTAAGTTTTCTTAATCTCTTTAAGTTCAGTAAGTGTTTTCCCAAGGCATATCTTTTCAAGGGAAACGAATTGTACGACTTATACACATACAATATATGTACCGCGACGATGTTTTCTGACGTAACTATGTAAAAACCGTCCAGCTAGCTCCATCGTTTTATTTCACATTCATTATTAACTACATGTAACAATACCATTTCATTTGAATCTGCTCTTCATTTTCAATGTATGGTTAAGGTATTAGTTAAAAAATTGTACTTCAAAACTTTAAATGGTAGCATAATATAGCAAGTATTTCGCAATAACAGTAGCATGCAATATTCTTGAAATTATATTGGCAGAGATAGGAAAAGCTACTTGAAACATATTGGTTATAAACACCTTTTTCAGGAATATGTCTTGTCAGCAGTCGTTATTGGTAACATTGAATATTGACGTACATATTTACGGATAACCCGCAATGAAATAAATAACTATTGCCTGCATACCAGCGTATAAGCAGCTGAGCTTTGAACCCAACTTATCTTAACGCTCCAGTTTCTCATTATTTCAAAATTTCCCTAAAGCCGATCCCACAAAACCTGTGTAACCGAAACATAATGTCGTTCTAATTACACGTTTGATGTTATTTGGTAAAAGAGTCTTGATGAGAGGAAGATCGCTTCAAGACCTAAACACATACCAAAACAAATATATATATTGTCAATACCGTCGCTATTACTTCTTTGCTTTAAAATTAACAATACGTAATTAATTTGAATCTGCCCTGCATATTGCAGGCAGTATTGAGAAAAAAGGTTAAAAGTCAAAACACTAATCACTTCAGTGATAATATGATGACTATTCACAATGACGATATCATGTAATATCAATAATATCAGATTTGTTTTTCTAAGCGAAAAAATATAGAAGTGTGCTTTTACTTTACATCAGCAAGTCACTGTTACGGCCAGCCTTGTCAAAATGGAGCCACGTGTCAATATACTGGAGGGAATTACACATGTACTTGTGCAAATGGGTTTTATGGGCGGAACTGTGATAATGGTAAGTAAAAGTTATAACCTAACACGCAAAACGATCCACTAGTTATTTGGCAACAATTCAGTTTCTTAGCTCGATCCTTTATAAGTAAGTAAAATGGCATTTGCATCAACAACATATTAGCGGATAACGAAAAGCATATGCGTTCTAGACCTGTAACCCTATTATATTTTAGCCAAAAGTGAACTGACGTAGTGTGCTTTCTTCCGGTACTGTCCAGGAAGTGGTGGTTAAAATTTTGGTAACGCTTCATTACGAAACCATGCCTTACGCGTTTGATAACCTTAAACTATACACAATTTCAGGATCTCAAACACCTTTGGATGTAATTAGCTGAGTACCATAACGTAACGAACTTCGTATCAGTCCGCACATTTCTCTTGATAATACAGACAAAATCGACATAAAAACCTTCTCCGAATAATTTGGTGTGCAACAATAAACGGAAAGATACATTATAAGAAGGCCATTCTAGGAGTTGCCGTCTAAACATTACAGAGTTGCAATTTTACATGTGTCGATTTAGGTTGTTTAAAAAACACCGAGAACACCACTTCTAAATTTAAGAAAGTATAGACAGAATGATAAGCTTATGGCTGTAGCTAGAATATAGAAACATACTAAATAGTCAAGTTTATGTGTTTCAACACATGCACGAAGCCGTATATATTGTTAAGGCATTCCCCAATTTACACCAACCACGATTGTTATCGCACAACGTTCGTCCTTAGTCCGCACAAATGTGCGCAAGCAATGATCGTCCAGTTGTTTACCGTTCGCAAAAAACTTCGTGCACACATCGTTCACACACCGTGCACACATCGTTCACACACCGTGCACACATCGTGCTAAGTAGTCAAGTTAGCAACATGCATTGTTTAGTAAGGTAGTAGCACTAAATTGTTTTGCCTCAGGTCCTTAAACATAGATCCCACAACTGTAACAGACCTGACCTTTGTTGAGGGCTGGCTGTCAGTTGGCACAATTTACCTGGTTTTGTTTGGTGTTGGTTTTATGCAATTAAGCGTCCTATAAACATCTAGGTTTAACGAAAGACGTTGTTCGATGTGTGCAATGTATGCATTTATGCGTCAGCTCTACTTACATACTACGTTTTATGTTTCCTAGCTCCTTCTTGACAATATCTTACTTTTGACCTTAGAGTTGAGCCATCGACAAAATGGGGTTATGTCTAGTAGCCTGAACACACCAAAGTCCTTAACATTGGTAGTAGTTTAATATCAGTAACCGGTGTACCTGCAATAACTTTCAAGACTTTTGTCAATATCGGCAGAAACTATGCATAGTTAAAATATATTTTAGAGTCAACGAGGGTTCTGATTAAATTTATTTTCCAAACGAGCATTAGTTTTGATGAAATAGTCTTCTGAAAATGTTATCCAAATCAATAGCGTCGCAAAGCACGTACATCAGGAACATCTTTTTTTGGTAATTATGCTTACCTTTATATTGTCCATGTAACGATAATCAGCAGCCAGTAAAGCGTAATACACTTTATTTGACGGGAAAAATATTATTAAACGAAAACTGTATGCATAAACGTTCTTCTTTGCATTGAATGACAGTTTCTTGGGCCGCTTTTCCACAGGTGTCCCGTTTTGGGTACTGTCCCGATTTGGGTACAGGGACGGTACCCAACAAATCCAAACACTAATGTGTCCGTCCTTAAATGGTATATAGTGTTTTAAACAACGCTTATGGTCATCGATCTGTACATTCTCACCGTGTTACCATCTCACTCTTCTTTTTTGAATAATGAAAAGAAAATTATATTTTCAATCAATGCACCCTCATACTTATCAGTGGATAGATGTCTCTCCCATCCCTGTTTAAACGGAGGGACTTGTACCAGGTCAGGATCAAACTTCAACTGTGGCTGTACAAATGAATACCAAGGAACCAACTGTCAGCTTCGTAAGTTTTCTTAATCTCTTTAAGATCAGTAAGTGTTTTCCCAAGGCATATCTTTTCAAGGGAAACAAATCGCACGATTTATACACATACAATATATGTACCGCGACGATGTTTTCTGACGTAACTATGTGAAAATCGTCCAGCTAGCTCCATCGTTTTATTTCACATTCATTATTAACTACATGAAACAATACCATTTCATTTGAATCTGCTCTTCATTTTCAATGTATGGTTAAGGTATTAGTTAAAAAATTGTACTTGAAAACTTTAAATGGTAGCATAATAAAAAAAGTATTTCGCAATAACAGTAGCATGCAATATTCTTGAAATTATATTGGCAGAGATAAGAAAAAGCTACTTGAAACATATTGGTTAAAAACACCTTTTTCAGGAATATGTCTTGACAGCAGTCGTTATTGGTAACATTGAATATTGACGTACATATTTACGGACAACCCGCCATGAAATAAATAACAATTGCCTGCATACCAGCGTATGAGCAGCTACGCTTTGAACCCAACTTACCTTAACGCTCCAGTTTCTCATTATTTCAAAATTTCCCTAAAGCCGATCCCACACAACCTGTGTAACCGAAACATAATGTCGTTCTAATTACCTGCTTTATGTTATTTGGTAAAAGAGTCTTGATGAGAAGAAGATCGCTTCAAGACCTAAACACATACCAAAACAAATATATATATTGTCAACACCGTCGCTAGTACTTCTTTGCTTTAAAATTAACAATACGTAATTAATTTGAATCTGCCCTGCATATTGCAGGCATTATTGAGAAAAAAGGTTAAAAGTCAATACACTAATCACCAGGCGCGTAGCTAGCCCCTTTACCATGTGTAAGCCCCGACATGGGGTTCCCGTAGGCAGCCCCCCGCCCCCGAAGCGCGAGCAGGGGGAGGGTACGGGAGTGGATCTTCCCCCTCCCGTAAGGGGGGTCTGGGGGGTCTCCCCATGAACATTTTGTTTTCTAGAACGTCTCAGGAGCCATTTCCCACGTCCTGATGTCTGAGATAATGATATGTTGTAATTTATAATATAGTTTTAAAACAGGGGCCGGACTTGCCCCGGTCTCCCCTACACATGTATAATACATGTGTAGGGGGACCGGGGCAAACACGGCCCCTTTTCTTTTTTCAAGACGTTATGGAAGGCATGTACTATAGACGTATCAACACGTAATTTCTTAAGCGGCCTCAAAGTGCTATGTCAAAGGTCATGGGGGAAAAACCGCTTATGCGCTAGCAAAAACTTGCATGGCGGCCAATTAGGAGTCCTTTGATACGATTACGATTTCTTTATTTAAACGATATATCCACACTGAAAAATTATACGAACATCGAGTACGATATCAGGTACATCTATTCTTTTGGGAAAATCTTCAATGTTTGGCACTTACATCGTAATAAATCAGCGATCGTGCAATTTGTTGGAGGGTCGCCCGCAGATGCTGAGATGGGTGGGTCAGTTTACATTTACATTTATACTGCAAAGGACCGTCGAACAGCATCAACTTGCAGGTAGACTTGTGTGGCGTGGCTTCCACATGAGTTCGTTAAAAACTGGTTAAAAAGTTAAAACTATTTACAGGATCCACATTCACTCTGCAAGATGACTGGAGCGAGGTCTTGAATGCCTCAGTTCTCCCATAGGAGCCTGAAGTTCTGTCAATAATGAATAATAATAGTAATACAAAAAAATACCCCTAATATTTTTTAAGCATATTAGGGGTATTTTTTTTGTATTACTATTATTATTCATTATTGACAGAACTTCAGGCTCCTATGGTTCTCCCCAGTAACTGGTGGATCGGGGTATTTATCGGACAAGTCAATCAAATAGATTATTTTTCCTTTCTCCGATACATCATCTTTAAACCTGCTTCTGGTATACTTAACTTTGACCTTTTCCAGCCGATACAGGAAAAAATTCAAAGCATTCTTTAAATTTGCCATCCTGAAAATTAACGTCAAAAACGACGATGATGTCGTTTTTCCACTTTCCGTTTGGCAAATATTAACGTTAATGTAACCTCATCGTTTCTCAACGATAACAAAAGAATCGTTTATACGCCTTGTCAAACTTGTGCTAATGTAATTTCTTGTCTCAGATTGTGTCATAAATAACGTCATCAAGTTTTTTTGAGTAAAATATAAATTTCCATTGGGGCCTGTATAGGGGTATTATTGGACAAGCAATGTTGGAAAGTCATTGTTGTACTGGTTATAACTTGGAAAACCACATGAGTGCATCTCACAATAGCTGATACATAACAAATAAAAAAGTAAGTATAAATGTGTATTTTCTGTAGATTAATCAGGGATGGACACTAACTTTTTTGCTTGGTAATCCACAGGACTAGTTGAAAAGATTATTTACTAGTCCTTTGTCAATGTAAAGTTCTATAAGGTTTCCTGATCAGGAAACATTGTGATCTACAGCATGAAACATCAAAAGAAGACTTAATATAACTACTGCCATACAAATATGGTTAAGTTAAAGGATTTTTGTTTGACAATTATCATGCAATATTTAAAGCATTTTTCTAAATTTTAGAAAGTAATATTGTTATTTTATAATCCAAAGGTCCAGTTCGGTGATTCACTGATCCTTGCTGAAATCAACTAGTCAAGGACTAGTGGACTAGTGTGACCAAGACTGTTAATTGTGCATTGGTAATGAATCGGGAAATAAAATAGTTTAGTATTTGAAGGGGCATGGCTATATTCAATCTTGAACTTGCTGCTCAGACATGGAGTAATTACAAGCACCTTAACACAGGAAAGTTTCTTGTCAGCATTAATTCTGGACTCATCAATTTTGCGGCAAACAAGTGACAAACATATCACTACATACTCTGGGTTTCTTGACATATTTGAACGATATGATTCGGTCATGGCAGATAGGGGGTTTATATTCGAGAAGAGTTGGGCAGAACTGTTTATTCCTCCAGGGTGTAGGAGAGCTTCTCAAATGTCAAGAGCTGAAGTGAATCTTACAAAGGCCATTGCAAATCAGAGAATTTACATTGAACATGCAATCAGATGAATAAAAACCTTCAGGATCCTCAAATTTGAGGTACCTCTTACTCTTGTGCACCACTTGGATGATATTGTAAAAGTGGTTGCTGGAATTTGTAATATGCATCCATCTCTACCGAAGTATAAGTAAATAGTAATTTTATCAGCAGCACCAGAACCTGTTCCTCAATATATCCCACTATTGCTTTTTCATGATCATCCAAACTTTCAATGTTTACAAATTAATGTTGTGTTTATATCAGTCGCTAGTTCACCTGCCCTAGCACTGTGTTGTCAAATATAATCCAGTTTTGATATATGTGAGCCAAACTTTTACTCTTAAGATCCACAAAGCTTCAACTCTTCTTTAACAAAAGTACCAGGTATTTTAGGGCTGTAATAATATATTGATATGTGTATCTCTGTATCACAATATTTTGTTTAGAGAACATTTATCCAGTGATACATATGTGTATTTATATTTAATAATTTGTAATTAAAAGTGCAAAATTTGGAACATGAAATTAGTGACATTCTCAGGGTCTATATGCACACTGACACTGCTAGGATCAAATTACAATGTACTGCAAATATTTCTAAGGATCCCCAATAATTAAATATAGTGTGAAACACTTATCAGACATACAACTGTGCGTGGGTGGTGTCTGGTCAATCGTGTCAATAGTTCGGTTGATCTGATAATAGTAGAAATATGACCAGCACGGAGACCTGGCTCTCCGGATGATTGATCAGGCAAATGGAAACTGAACAGGTCTTTATTAATATTCCAGCCCCAAAAAAAGGGAAAATTTACAATTATCTTAATACCTACTGTATCCATCTCTCCCAATACTCTATCTGAACCTTATTGAGTTATTGGTAATACTTGGACATGAAATTGTGCAAGTATGGTTAAAATATAAAGCACATTCTATCAAGAGTTCTTATAGAATATCAATTAAGCAAGAATATAATAATATATATATTATATATACATGCAATATAATGTGGCAGTCAAACCAACTGTACATTTTCGACTTGCATACAAAATCTAACCTCATATATTTATTTTTAGGCCTAAACAAGGCTTTTATATTTTGCCTAACTTGCAAAGTCTGTACTTTAAACTCTCAAACTCTGCCAATAACACTGCACTTTAGACATGCCCATTTACTAATCTGTGATGATGCAAGCTTATTCATCTGTACACATGCAAAGTGATACCAAAGATGACAATAATCACATCCAATGCTTTGATCCCCATATTTCTGTATGCTGTGTCCTTCCTTGATTACATGCTTTTAATTACATACAGGGCAGAAATGTGTTGTAGCAGGGGCATGATCAATGTCCATTGCCTCTGACATGACAGGCAGATCTGTGTTTTTCATTTTGATTTTTCAAAGGCCTTAATTGAAAAAAATTCAGGCACTACAAACTTCACATAAAACAATATAAAGCTGTCAAGTACTTGCAAATAGTAGGGAGCTGTCAAATAAAATCATTTCTGTGTGTTTGCCAAATAATTACATGTGTATACAATTTGCTACATATAAAAGTCACAACCCTTTCTCCCTGTGATGGAAAGCTGCCCTTAGATTTGCCAAAAATATAGAGCCATAAATAGACTTGAAGCTTACAAGAGCAGAGCCTTGAACACTTAGCACATTTTGTAACAAGGAGACATTTTATTTCTACAACACCATCCCCACAGCACTCACAAGTGACTAACAGGTCTGGACTTGCTCCTAAATGAATGTGATTCTGGTCAAGGAATGGACACTTTACTATAAAAAGACTTCAACATTTCTTTCTTGTAGGATTGTTAGGCCTCTGGTCCCAGTTCCCTGGCAATAGATTTTATATTTAGGTGATTTTTTATACTCCAACGAATTGCACAATAAAGGTTCCATATTTGTCACAAGATAGCTTATAAGAGCATGTACAATACACTAAAACTGAGGTCAATTTCAAGTTTGACTGAAACCTGCTTTTGTTTATTGAGTCATCACAATCATATTTAATGTCCTAGTCTAAGGGAGATAATTGATATATTTTTAAACCATAAAACTGTTTCCTTGATATTTGAATATGCCCAGTCTATTACACATAATTGACAAGAGTGTTATGTACAGGACAATATTTAAAAGCAGTGCTTCATATTATTTTGTAACTAATTAAAATAGTTTTCATAGCTAACTAATATATTTTTAGAAAATTTATATATTTGTATTGTCCATATTAGGGTATGACTCGCTGTTTAGCATTTAGTTTGCATTCAAAAAGATAAATAGAATGTTAACTAATGCTTTCATTTAAACATTACACAATCACCTACAGGTATCAAGTTGTCTTGGTTTCATAGCCGATTTTACTGCTCCATTTTCCTTGCAACAGCAAACCCACATTGTATGTGAGTCGCCCTTCAATTTCTGTGACAACACGGTGAATNGAGATAATTGATATATTTTTAAACCATAAAACTGTTTCCTTGATATTTGAATATGCCCAGTCTATTACACATAATTGACAAGAGTGTTATGTACAGGACAATATTTAAAAGCAGTGCTTTATATTATTTTGTAACTAATTAAAATAGTTTTCATAGCTAACTAATATATTTTTAGAAAATTTATATATTTGTATTGTCCATATTAGGGTATGACTCGCTGTTTAGCATTTAGTTTGCATTCAAAAAGATAAATAGAATGTTAACTAATGCTTTCATTTAAACATTACACAATCACCTACAGGTATCAAGTTGTCTTGGTTTCATAGCCGATTTTACTGCTCCATTTTCCTTGCAACAGCAAACCCACACTGTATGTGAGTCGCCCTTCACTTTCTGTGACAACACGGTGTACATTTGGCTGACAAAATACAGCCGATGCAGTTGATATGGAATGGTAGTAAACTTCCTGAAAGTGACCAGACTGAAAATACTCATAAGCCTTTCCGATTTTGTAATCA